GGTCACAAATTGCTCTCAATAATTAAAATGCATTATCATTACTTTTTGACTATTAGTCTGCTATCACATAACTGAATTAGACATGAGCAAAGCTCTAATGTGCCTCCACAGCAATCTTTTCCTGTACACTAAAACCGGCAGACCTCAGCTACATTTCTCAGCCAGGAGCTAATGTTTCTGGGTACATGTTACTGTTTCATTTGTCAGTAAAGCCTTATTTACTGGCTTCCTGTTGTTAATTATGGGAAACAGGATCTCTTCAAACTGTAGGAGAGGCTCTTTTAACTCCTGTCTAGACTTTTCAAGACAAAATATTGATGAGCCCTTTAATGTTTGTGCAGTGACACAATCTGAGCTAAAAAACCCCATCGTTACCTCAAACAGCTTAAGGCGCCTTATCACACATTCAGAAAAAAAAAAAATCCTTTAAATCACTCGGGCTCACATCCTTATTGTTAGTCACTGAAGTAAGGTTTTCTTTCATAGTTGGATACTTTCTTCATCTGTCACACTGATTAATTAACAGCTCACAGTATGAGCCCTGAGCTTAAATAGCCTACTCAAACGAGGAGGACAGATCAGTGTTAATATTCCATAAAAACCTGAAGAGGAAAAATGCTTTCCTTAGTATGAAGGGATCTGTCTTCTAATAATCAAAAAATTAACTAATTTCTGTTTGATTACATTACCTAAGGAGATAAAAGCACCCAGCTTGAGAAGGGAGATTGGAGGAAAGGATTAGGACGAAAGTTAGAGAAGACTTAAGCATTTTTAATTAAACTGTTGGTTGGAAACAACCAAGTCTTGAACACCAGTGAAATTATTTTCATCATCATTTAGAAAAGCCAGTTTATCAACACATAATGAGCAAATCTATAAAAACACAGTACCATTGCCTGTAAAGATCTATGGGGAAAAGGCATGCAATTACATGAAATGGAGAGTTGCTAAAACCTTAAAACTAAAGCTGGTTTCAGCCAAAGCATTTGTTGCTTCTCTCACACACACCTCTTTCCCAAACTGTTACAGTCTGGCAATTATTTCAGGAGTTTGACTTTCAACAACTGCAAGTTCTCCCCCTTTTTTAAGCCCCTCCAGTACTGCTGAGTGGGCAAAAATTACAGATGCAAGAAAAGCTGACAAATGAGTGCAAGGCCCCTCCTCTCCAGTGCCTCGACAGTCAGAGCCCCTGCCAAAACATGCCTGAAAGCTAGTGAGGAGACAAAGACACAAAGATTCCATTTTTTCAGGGAAAATAGATTTCATGTAGAAACTACTAGGGAGAAGAATTGCACAATAGCACATGTGTAATCTCAAAAGCAGAGCAGGAATAAACGTTTCAAGAAAAAGTGAAATTATATTTGCTTATTGAATAAGCTCAACAAATGCTATTTAACATATGGCTATTTTAAACTGCAAAGTTTAAAACTTACCCTCCAGGGGGTAGGAGAGGGAAAGCTCCCATAAAGTCAGAAAAACATTTTCAGTCATGGAGAACCTTCAGTTTAACACGATCCAAGCTAAGAGTTCATGGCTATTGCTCTAAATCATCTCCTGATAATGCCTCAGTACACAACCAAAACAAAGTAAATCCAGATTTTTAGCTCAAATCTGTGACTATGTTTATTACTAAAAGATGCTTCCCCCAGGGTGTCATTAATAAAGTTGCAATGAGTTTAAAAGCCTGGCACCTAAGTACATCCTTGTTTTCAGGCTTTTCATAACAAGTTTAATACTTTCATGACTGGCACTCCTCACTGAGCTGGAACAGGTCTGCCTCTGAGCAGGATGAGCAGCAGCTAGGTGAATGTAGGCAGGCAGAACTTTGAAAAAGCAACAGGATTTCTCTTTGAAACTAGTCAAAGCTGAGGGAAAGTCCAATTTATGGTGGGAAGATTTGGGGCAACTCAAGATTCTCACTAATTTAAAAATAAAAAGGATATTCACAACAGCATCTAAGATTAGAGACTATTGTTTTAAGTGTGATTCCAGTCCTTTAGGACTCAATGGCGAAAGACCCTATTGTTAAAAATAATGTAAGCTCGCACCAGACTGGCAGTTTAGGAAGTAGAGGTGTAAAAAGGAGTTTTTAATCATCAGAAAGGTTTTCAAAATGCTTCCAGCTCTGATAATTAGTGCTCATCAACATGTAGCATTCTTAAAAACTCTCTGCTTGTAATACACCTTTTCTTTGTCTTATGGGAGACTGCTTCTACAGAGGCACTCAAATTCAGCTGAAGTCTTCCAGTCTTTCAGCAGAACACAAATGCAGTATAAACAGAACATAGAAAATGTTATATAATAAACATTCTAAAAATATGATAAATTCCCTGAATTGAACAGGTTTGTGATTGAGGATAAACTGCTGAGAGCACTCTAAGACCCCCAAGGGCCCTCTGCCTTACAGGAAGAACAATGTTCAGAGAGCTCAGCTTTCTGCTGGGCTCACCCTCTCCTAATCCTCATGTTCCTCTTCCTTCAGCCCATGAGGATGTGGCACATTTCTGACTGAACCCAGGTGCTACCTCTCTTCCCTTCTGTCTGCTCCTGAAGACTGCTCTGCCAAAAGACTTCAGAAAGAAAGGACTGGTAATCCTTTGACTAACTAATAAATCCCCTTCAGGATATCAGCACTGATTGTTACACAGGGATTGGGGATAGTCCAGAACTATTTATAAAAAAAAGAAAAACCAAACCGAAACCCAATGCTATTCTCCACATCACACCTGAGGTGAAGTACCAAGAACATCAGAAAACTTGAACACTGCCCATTTAATTACAAATCCAGATTTATTTTTCATGAAATTTCCTTACATTCCTTTGGCTGATCCCACTATAGTCCCACTTGCTAAGTCTAGGCATATTCTAACATTTCATAGCCAGTATCTAAATTGTTTTGGGGTTTTTTTATGTATTTTACCATCCAACCATCACTCAGCTCCTCCTAAATGCATAGCTGTGTCCATTTGGTCTCCGTTCTCAACCAGACCAGATCACCATTACATTTTCATTTTGTTAGTACAAAGAGATCCTGGATGTTTTCTTAACTGCAGAGATGAAAAAAAGTCTGCATCTCCTGGACTGATATACCTGCTGACACATTCTCCTTACTTCAAATTTCCTAAACTGAATCCCAAACTCTTCCTCTACCCCACCTACCGTGAAAGTAGAACTGCTGTACTTGTACACACAGATCAAGAGTAATATGACTGCCTGATTTCAATGAATATTCCAAGGCAAAAGGAGATTTAGTTCTGAGGTCAAATTCTAGAATTGCTAACAGCAGAGATATATGAAATAAAAATTTTTTTTAAAAAAAAAGGCTGCAGTTAATGACTAGGTAAGAGAAACAGTAGAGAATGAAATAAGATTTATGAACAGTTACAAACATGCTTTATCTTATACAGCTGGTAAATTCATTCTTCTGAGTATCATTACAAAGTAATCTTTACAGAGAAAACTCAAGTTAGATTACAGAAAAAGTGCAGCAGTAGAAAATATTATCACTCGATTTCACATATGTTCTGTCACTCACCTAACACTATTCCTATCGAAATACTTTTAAAGATTACTTGAAAATCAAATGTTAGCATTATTTCAACCTGTGGAAGCTGTTGAAAGTCAACATGAAATCTTGCATCTGTGTCTAACGTCTGTCATTGCAACTGAGCTCATTTTAATGGCTGCATGTCCAGGCAGTGTGTGGCACAGGGCTTGAAAAGGAAGGAGACTTATGTTTTACTTGGCACTGGTACAGCATAGGTCTTCAGCATGAAATTTATTAGCATTAATGGGCATTGTGTAATTAAAGCACTGTGCTTTAATGCCCTGAGGGATGATGGGGCTTTTTTCATGTCCTATAAAATAGACAAAAAAAAAAAAGTGAGACTTTTCAAAGCTAGTCAAAGAATTCAAACGTGCATGTTCCTCTATTAATCATAACAGAGAAGGCATAGCTGAACAAGATGGATCCCAAATTCTCAAAATGTCTTCCATGAAACCACAAGACGGTTAATACTAGACACCAGGCTTTTTGAGAAGATGCTATGTAATGACAGTATTTTGCAAGGCCGCAAGTTCTTCAAAAAGTAACCATTATACCACTGAAAAGTATAGATTTGAAAAAAATATTTTTAGATCTAATGTACCACACTTACTTGGGACTAAACTTGTTTAAAGGAGTCCAATTTAATAAAGTGGCTTTGAGAAACTATTCAAATATTTGTTACTTGAGCTCTTGCATTTTCTTTCCTGAATGCGAAGAATTTAGAAGGCTTTGAAAATCCCATCACCTAACCCACTGCACTTCAGGGACGGGAGGAGGCGTTTATGTGTTTCGTCATGTGCTTTTGAATATCACAGGCTGAAGCTGGAATAATATTCAGATCTACTAAAAAAGTGAAGTGGTGGTGCAGGTTTCATTAGGATTGGTGCATGTCAGCAGTAAAGATCAGACTATTACTTAGACCTGCATTTCAATAGTTAAGCAGGATTAATTTTCTATAAGAAAAAAATAATTCAGAATTACACTATGGAAAAAAACCAACACACACAGGTCTAGTATTTGATTTTCCAGAAACTGATCTTGCCAACACTTATCTGTAGGACTGAAAAATAATCCTGGAGGTAATTTTCTGGCAATTTTTTATTGCTTTATATGTTTAAATGAGCCTACATGAACAGCAAGTCAGAACAGCATGGAAATAATACCACTGATGTAACTATGATGTTTAAACTATTGAAAATATAAGGCTTATTGACAGTATTGTGTCACATCTTAATATTATGAATAATCTAATTTCATTTAGAACTAGATTGAAGCAAAACTTATTTTATCTGAAAATCTGAAGAAAAAGTTCCTACAGATTGTACAAAACCACTAAGACCTTTACAGTGACACTAGGAATTTTTCCCTGGGGAATGTCAAGATCAATTACTGGCTGATCTGTTGGACATATCCTAAAGTATCAAACAAAATTCTTTATTTCTTTGTCTTCTAGACAAATCACCACAGAGCTGCAGACCAGCAATGAAGGGAGCTGAGGGCAATTTGACCAACATCATCTGTGTCGGTTCCCCAGATGTCAATGAAACACGTAATCGGGTCTCCAAGGTACATCCCAGAGATTAGCTGCTGTGCCATTCAATAAGTAAATGATTAAAACAAGATGTTTTCTTTGATTACATTAAGATACTGGCAGCAGGGAAGGCTATTACCTTCCATTGAAGAGTCTACCTTCCCAAATTACATTGTTTATTAACACATCATTAACAACGTGCCACCTCAGCCAAGTGATCAGTGGTCTTGGGTACAAAGTAAAGATCATTACAGAACTCCACCACCTGCCTCATTTGAGCAAATCAAGTAAGTACATCTGAATCACCAATTGCACAAAAATATTCAAATGCTAGTTTTCATCTTCAGCTTTGTGCCTTTTTTGCTGAGCCCATAAGCCTTCTTTTGAGGAATCAACAAAACCATGTAGACATAAACAGAGAAGTTCTTGAAATGAATTTTTTTTTTTTTTTTCCAAAAGAACAGGACCTCAGGTAAATGATGCCTTTTAATACAGCACATGAAAATTTCAATTATGGAAATCATTATTCTAGGCACTATGTGCCATTTTATATTCCCAGCAGGATGTTTTTCATCTCATCAAGAGTTTCCAAGGCTGTTTAGTGCTCCTGTATATGCAAAACACATTTAAGGGCCCCTAAGAAGATCTGTTAATTAAAAAGCCCAGTCAAGTGGTCAGACAGACTGGAACTTGAGTATTATAGGTAAAGAGGGATGAAATGAAGGCTTGGAAATTATAATTTTTCTTTCTGTGGTAACAGCCAAAGCAGCTGTTATAAACTGGGCAAATTAAAGATGTGGCTGACTAAGCCAGCAGTCTGGAAACAAGACATTGCAAAAGCATAACAACAAGTCATCAGCACCCCACTTTTAAAAAGCCAAAAGTGCTGACCATTTCTTTTTTACTCTCTCTTCCTGTTATTCTGATCTGTCACAACTATCCTCCAGCTGTTACCCTTCCAGCCCCTGTTCACCAGTTCTAGTTTCCCACCCCCATCTTAGGGAGTTAGTAGTAATTCCCAAGACTGTGGACAAGTGCTCCATAGTGGGAGTAGTCAGCAAACAAGAAAGGACATGTTTAAAAGAAGAGCAGGTGAAATAACAGAGTTGAAGTTATTTTTTTTTTCTCCCATATATTAGAGTTGTTCATGTGAAAACAATCTTCTCATGCTGAACAATATTTATCATTCCTTGAGAGCTGTTTCATCTGCCCAGTAGTCAGCATCTAGGTACAGAAAGGTCTCCAATTAAAAAAGCCAGATTGCCACCTCACTTTCCAGACACATTTATTAAGTGTCTTGTAATTGACTATTTTCAGGGGAAAAACCCCAAACAATCCAATCATTTTTCTTTCTACATTTTCTAGTCTGTTTTCACAAATACTTGTAAAAGGGCTAAAAATAGTTTTACCACGAGCTAATGAGGGTATACATATTTTTTCATATCAGAACATAATGAAGGATTTATGAATTACTGCATAAATAAGTTACTTAAAGACCCTGAAAACCATCCCAGAACAACCCTTTGTCTTTTCTCAGCAGCAGATACGGACTTCCTTTGAGAAACAGAAGAAACATTAGTTGCTTTGTATAGACAGCTTTTAGGTCAGTTTTGCCAAGCTAGAATTTGTCTCAATTTATATTAACGTAAACCTGTGGCCTATTTTTGATCTCATTTTAGACATCATGAATTAATACCTCCCAATCTATTTCCTCTATGTTTATTTGTATTCAAGACAAACTCATCATTTCAGATTTGTGGTAGATGAATTTTAAGTGTTGCCATTTCAATACTACACTAACGATGCTGTTAATAATACTGCTGCATTGAAATACTGCATCTGATTTGAGGCACACTCAAGCCCTTTGCAAACAATTATTCATTAAATACATTTGCAAACTGTTCATGAGATTCATACCATAAATCTTTAACAGACACAAAATTGATACAGGCAAGCTGAGTACTCCGTTCTTTATCAGAAATTAGTTTTAGGTGGCATGGGGCCTTTGTCTGATGCCTTTACCTGAAAAAAAATCAATTGCCATTTTGCATTTTCATACAAGTCTAAGAGCATGAGAGAACAGAAAAAGAATTCTAAAGGTTAAACCCCATATTCAGTCTCTCCCCCGCCCCTCTGTTCCAGCGGGTATTTGAGGAGGTTCTTTACATCTCCTCCCACACAGTTTCTCTGCTTCATAAGCAGAAAGCAGCTGCTGGTTCTTTCAAGTCTAGCGGTTAGTTGACATTTACCAATAGTTTATGGTTTTCATTCTACCTTAGCAAGGAAAAGAGCTAGAATACCAGTTTTAAAGAGTGAGTACTAAATCTTTATATTTATAATTTCCTCACACCCCACACCCCTCACCCCCAAACTGGAGGGGCCTGCAGCCAACAGTTTTGGTGGGACTTAAGGAAGGGACAAAAACAATGCTGTGAACCAGCACAGAGAATAGGGGCATGGGTCCTGGGTTTAAAGTTAAAATTCTTGCCCCTGGAAAACCACCTCAATGCAACTCTTGGCCAGTAGTGATGGTTTAATTATTTCCCTTTCAACCCCACTTTCTAAAAAACTGCTGTGTATAGTTGTTCACATATCTGACTTGACAAACTTGGCAGCATTATTTAGAAATTGCCATAAAAAGAAAGAAAAAATATCGCATATATACTTATGATATGATATGATGCTTTGATGGTAGAGATGGGAGGAATGAGAAAGGTCTAGGATACATCACACAAAACACTATTTTCCAGAGCAGGGGAAAAAAAACCCAGCTGAAACATACAAATAAAGATGTTATGTCCTGCAAACACTGCCTACCTAGCACACTCGTGAAAGGTTACCTCCCACAGTTTCACTCCCTTGTCCAGACACAGGCTATGACACAGTCCTTACGTCTGACCTCATTCCCAGATAAATGCACTGATATGACTCTATTTAATGTTTGTCTTCCTGAAATTTCTCTTGAAAATTATGAAAATTATAATATGTTAAATACATGAAATTATTATATCAAAATACAGATGAAAAATCACACTGTCCTGGGCACTGTTTCAACAGTGGGATACTCTTGCTAAAATTATATTCAGATTTGCAGGTATTTTGAAATAGTAATAAACAAAATGTAGTCAGAGATGTCTCTTTTAGAGCAAGTTTATTCACATGGGAATCAGGAAAACGGAGGTGATCTGATAAGCAAAATTCCCCCCAAATCAGGAGGAAAAAATGCCATACTTGTAGTTGTTAACAGCCTGCTAAATCCTCCAGTAAACCTAAACTCAGGAGTCAGCTGGTCATACTGTGTTTATTTCATGGACTTTTTCAGAGTCCATCTGTATCCAGAGTACAAAAGCCTTTTATCTGATGATATTTACTAACAAAGAGTTTTAAAGAGGTAACATTAACAGAATTGTTGTAGATACAAAAAGGAACATGGAACTTGCAATTACTGGATGGCTCCAAACTTTTCCTAATGTGTTTAAAACTTTACAAAAGTAAACCATCCCAGACAGCTCAGCACAAAGACAGTGTAAGAAAACGCCATACTGTTTTTCTCCAGGTGTAGGTCAAGACATTTGAAGATATCTATGACTGAACATTGTTTCTTCATCCTGAATCAAGGCTTCCGTGACTGAACATCATAGAGGCAGTTACAAAAGTCATAGTGGTGCTCAACATCTGCAGGAACTCAATAGTGCAGCAGTTTGCTGCACACATGTTAAACACGCAGCACTAAAAATTATAAAAACAGGTCAGAGCAAAATGAAAAAGTACTTGAAATTAAGAATTTCACATCAGTAACGGGAAGAAAACGTGGAGACCACCTTTTCTGCAGGCCAGCAAAAGGCATTACTTTCTTTTATCATGTATTGCATTTACAGGGCACTAGATTTTTCTAAACAGCAACCAAAGCATACTTTCAAGTCCTCCCAACAAACATCTGAATGACACAGCAGACTGAAACATTTCAAAGAGATCAAACATACACCAATGACTACCTCTTGTTCCCTTGAATTAAAAGTGAAGAGCAGCTTATCTGGAAAGCAGAATCTAATTAAAAATTATCTTTTCTTTAAAGAATAAAGGAGAAAAACACCAGTCTTTAAGCAAGGTGGAAACTCAGCTGGAGATGGACTGCAGTGTCCGTTTCTTTTTGCAAAGTAAAGATTCAGAAGCGCATTCAAAACCACATTTAAGTGGTAAACATAAAAACATGAAGTACTAAAAATGAGGACCACCTTTCCCCCAGTGTAGCTTTAGGGAAAATCAGATATACCTGTATTTTAGTACATAGAAAAAAGATCTGTAGTATCTTATCACATATGCTTTTAGACAGACATTTGACTAATTTCAATTAGCATTAGTTACTTCTAAAAAAAGTAAAAGAGATGATATAATAGAGCAGCTAAGATGTTTTTCATGTTTTTGTATGAATGGAAAAGGGATCCAGACACATCAGACTGATTATTTTATATTCTTCCATAGAAAGTCACTGTGGCTATATGAAGATGGTTTTTTCCCCTCAAACTTGTTTACTTCTGTGTGGTTTTGAATTTTTTAAAGAAGCCCTCACATTTTCAATATTAGTTCTAGTTTTTCACTATGTATAAATAAAATAAGTACACGTACAAGTGCACAGACAGCAAGGGGTTTCTTTGCAATACTCAGTGGAAGAAACACAAGATTTTTTCAAGGCTCCAGAGCTCTTCAGCCACAGCATCCTCCTTACATATGCATACAGTTGTTTTAATTTCATTAGTAAGAGCAAACTACATCAGTATTATACTTTTTTCTTTACTAGACAACATGAACAATGTATCTATGCATCACTGTTAAGACTGAGCAGAAAATAATCCTTTCTCAGAGAGATAAAAAGATTTTTGAATTTTTATTATTAGACTAAAAAGAGGTATGTCTAAGTTATTTTAATTTTCTTTTGGGATAAGGAGCTTATCATAAAAGAAAGAGGAGGAGAAAAAGTAGGCAGACAGAAGATAGTCTGATCATTAAGACTTTCACACAAAGTATCAGAAACCCAGGTTTCCAGGCCCTTCTCCAACAACAACAGAGCTCTGACATTCCGAAGGCACACCAAGACACCAGGCCATCAACCCTTCTATGGCAGCAAGGGGGATTTTTTCCCTTTCCTCACACAAAAGGCCTTCCCAGAAAAGCTTCCATTGAAATATGCATTTCTTCAAAACCTCCTGCATTTTCCCCACAGAGGAAAAAAAGATTCAGTTTTCAACCAGATGTAGTTACAGTTTTTCATAGAACTGCAATTGCAGGGAAAAACTAACAGAATGAGAAAAAAAAAAAACTTATTCTATAAAGTTCTAGTAATACCTTTAATCATATTACAAGCTTAATGCATTACATTTTTTTTTAATTAACACAGTTGGACTTTTAGATCAAACAGAGAAGAGAAAAAAGATTGTGATCCAACAAAAGCATGTTATAAAAACACTGCTGTTCAAAACAGGTCAAGTATTTTCTTGTGCTTGAAAACTAACAAAGGGGTTTTTCCTTAAGGCAGTCATTAGGTGTTTTGTCTTTATTTTTGTTACTTTTTTTTTAATGGTAAGATACACTTTCACCCCTCTATTAAATACACTCCAATCTGCATTCCTGTGAATAGCAATTTTCTTAAGACACTTTTTTTTTGCGATTAGTTGTGATAGGATTCCTTTCTCTCATGTTTGCATTTTGCAGACCACAAGCCTCAGAAGATCACTGTGGAAGAAACGCACTGGGCCAACCCATCCTGTTGATATGACACAAAGTGAAGCCCAGTTTGGTATTTTTTCCACTCTGAAGGAGTCTCACCCCAGGTAGTAGAAGCTCACTTCTTTCTTTGCTGTTGAATGACTACCTATTTTTTCCCCAGAATTCCCCCCACCTTAGGCAAAATTTACATTTTAATATTCTGGAGAACCTTTAAATTGCTGCTGTCCAAGGACCACAATAAAATGTGGGGCTGGTTCTTGTGACCCCCACACCTCCCTTTCTCACAGGGCCAAGGAAAGCCCATTAGAAATGACAGGGCATGCAGAATGCAGGAGAGGGCTAATTGAGTATAAAAGCTGTGTAGCTGCAGCGTCATTTAGGAAGTGCCTCCAGGCTTGCTCAAGAGTTTAGTAATAAACCTAGACCACAAAGCAAACTGAATGTTCAACTCTACACGCCCAGAAGGTAGAGAAGATCCTTTTCTCCATACTCTTAAGCCCATGTTCTTAGGCCCTCCAATCTTTCTCCCACAAAGTAGGATTTCAGGAATCATCTTCATTTTTCTTATCCTGAAGGCAGAACTGTATACTGTTAACAGTTTCCATAATCTTGATTACAAATTTTTATTAGAATAAAACATTGGTATCATCATGTGAAATCAAGAATCTGTCTTGCTAAATCTTGTTAAAAAAAGTAATTTTCAGCCTAAGCCAATTAGGAAAATAGAAATGGCCACAAAGAGTTTCAGAACAGAAAAAAATTCACATTTTATCTTTTCTAGTACAAGTGGCAACCATAGTTGGCATGTGAGATTTCTGACCTAACCAACTGATCACTAAGGCATTTAAATTATCTGTAAAGATGATTTAAAATGGGACAACCCACAATCAGAATATCCACAGTATTTAATGGAGCTATTAAGTGTGCAAGGAACCTGGGATCACACCCAACCCAGTCACAAACACATTCAAGAAATTTGAACAGATGCACATTCGACCATAGTAGCACATATTCTGAAATAACAAAAATATGGGCCCAATCACAACTAAAGTTGTTCTCACATGCTTTGTTTTTACTGACTACAAGCTTTATTAAGCTTTTAGTGTCCAATAGAAACAGCTCCATGAAACAGTGGGAGAAACACTGAAACTGAACATCTAGAAAGTCTTACATAGATAGGTTTATACACAAACTGCAGTCATGACTAAAGTAGTGATTGACTAAATCATGATTAAAGTGGAGGGTCTGGAGCCCAAGTCTATCCAGGAATAACTGAGGGAACTGGGATTATGAAGTCTGGAGGCTCAGGGGAGAATTTATCACTCTCTATAACTACCCCACAGGAAGCTGCAGCAGAGCATGTCTGAGCGCCAAGTGTACTTTTATTCCCAAGTAACAAGTGATAGGATAAGAGAAAATGGCCTCAAGTTGCACCAGGGGACATTTAGATTTTATATTAGGAAAAAATTCTCCACCAAAAAGCCTGTCAAGCATTGGAAAAGGGCTACCAGAGAAGTTATGAAGTCACCATCCCTGGAGGTGCTTAAAAGACATGTACACATGGTGCTCTGAGACAAGATTTAAGTAGTGTACATGGCAGTGTTAGGCTTGCTGTTGGACACAATGATCTCACGTGCCTTTTCCAACCTGAACTATTAAACAAATGACAGGTTCAAATCACTGGCTATGTTACCATGTACACTGCTTTAGATGATGGCTAATTCCTTCCTTACATGATACTTAAAGAAATGTCATCATTATAGTCTCAAATCCAAGTGATTCTTGCAATCACCTGGGCCATATGAATGAATTTAAAGACTGAAATCCATAATATAGTTTCCTTTCTAATGTATACACCCATTCCTACAGCCACAATGAAAGTATTTCTACAGATAAAGCATTATCAGAAAGCCAAATTTTATCCTTGCTGTCCAATGATCACAGCACCACTCCATACAGCAAAATAGGAACATCTAGAATTCTGCTCTTGTGAGGGCAGCTGGGACTGCACTGCTACATCAGGAAATGAACTGTGCTCAGGTTATAAAATATACTTGGGACTGTTCACAGAAAACTATCCTGGTACTGAAGAAATTACTTGTGTACAAGGCACTTATTAGGAAAAATTTGTCGAAGTGCATCGTATGTTTTTTCTGACAGAAAAACCAATTTTTCTGAACAGAAAAATGGTGCAGATTCGCTCTATATTTAAATCCCATTGAGCATGAATAGTTCCCTTTCCTTTCAGAAATTATTTCCCAAGCAGAAAAATTGTGTGATAACTAAAACTGATTTTACCAAACCTGTCTCCTTAAGGAGTTTTTTCACTAACTCATATTTTGATCTAACTAAAAACAAGTTTGGGTAAATGCTAGCTTTTACTGCTCTCAAATTCTGCTTTGGTTTCATGTTACTCCTGAGAGTTTGTGGTAACAAGTGTGAGACAAATTTTTAACTTCTCTTCAGACAAAATTGAAGAGTACTGATTGCAGTAGCCAGGAATCGTGGCCTACGTAAAACCTTCCTTTACTAATATTATTGAGTGGGGTGGTTTGAAGTGGCTTGGTTTTTGGTTAAGGGAAAATCCAAGCAGGCCAGGCCAGCGCACAACCCACTGCATTGAGAAAGAAATAAAGACAATTGCTTTCAGTTGGCCAATCATACCGTTTTGTACTGATTGTTCTGATTTTATTGATTGTTCTGATCAAGATTCCTTCTGAGATCAAAACATTCATTAAATTCCTTTTTTGCACATATTGGCATCAATATTTTGGAAGAACCCGACTTGTTCTATGAATGCACAGGTTTAGTAGAAAGCCATTTTGATGATGGCAGATTTGAAAGACCCTGTCTCTCTACAGTTGAGACACTAGGAAAAAAAAAAGCTTAATAAACTATTATTGCTAAGATCCAAAGTTTCTAAGTTAATACAAAATGAAGAAGAATAAATTAATTATTCTTTTTCAATTCTATTTACCTTCAGTAATAAGTAGATCCATGCCTACTTCATACACTTTGAATTTTAGGTAGGATTTGTTTTTAAGTGAGAAAAGAAAGGCATACCTAAATACCCGTATTTACCACTCTTCAAATTTGAGACTTGTACTATAAAGAGAAACAACTTTCCTGAAACTCTGTACCTATCCCTTTAGCAACTTTTAATATTTCATTATAGTTCATGGAGTGTAAGTTGGTTTTAAGTTTTGTTAACACTGCATGAATATTTTGACAAGAGTCCATCCACTTAGCCAAAATTGGAAACAACTAAGTATTTACATGGTATAGTACCAGACCTACACACAGTGAACCAGTTTAAAGGGGGAGAAAAAGCCTAAGTGAAATTTACAAAGGCATTCGATCAGGATAAAGAAACAATGCAACTATTTTAACAGTCTCCTGCCAGAAGTGATGGAGCACTTTAAACACGTTTTACTTACACAGCATTTTTTTCTCCTCCTTTGAAATACGTTCTAAAAAAAAGTGTCACAACATATTGTATACATTTTTCAAGGTTTTCAAAGATTAAGAACAGCTTCTGGAAAGACTCACTCCAATTTGGCAAATAATTATAGCACACATTACACCAAGGTGCATTAATGTTTGACATCTGTGAGGGTACAGAAACATGTACTTACACAGAGTTATCAATAAGCAAAACAAAGTCAGATATAATTTTAAATGAGGGCAAGAAAGAAAAAGGAAAAAAGAAAGCAAGGGGAAAGACAAGAAGTCTAAGTGGCAGAAAACATTACAACAGCCAAGTGGAAACAAATGAGATATTATAGCTGGGGTGCAGTCACAGGACTGTGTGTAACTCTGTTACAGCTAAACACCAAGAGCTTCTGGTGAAACTAGTTCTGTGTGTCACTTTAGGGAAAGTATAAAGAAGCATATTCAAAAGACAACAAGCACAAAGAAAACACAGTCATGACTGTTGACAATAGTGAATTCTGTACTGAATGTGTGAAGGAGACATGAGTGAGACAAAATAGAATCAGCCCCACTTTGCCTGGGATTTTTGTAGTGACACAAGCCAAGCAATCTAAACAGAAAATGTCTGTGCTAGGAAAGGAAGATATAAAACACCACAGAAACAAACTGCTTTCCTCATGGAAGAATGGTAACTTTGGACAACATTTGGCACTGCAAGTTCAAAGGGCTATTTCATCTGCATTGTAAGTACAGACCCAGAGATTTTACAGTATTACTGTCTCCATGCTATTGTTTTCTGTGCCATTAATGGCATTTAAATTATAGACCTGCTGCAGCCATGTAGTCAAAACACCACATCACCCGATGAGACACTGTATTATAATGTCACTGTGTCTGTGTTTTAGCTGTGCTTTCATATACTCCACTTCTCTTCAATCACCCTTTTTCTCTGCCAAAGAATAGGTATAAGAGACGAGTCTATCTTTAGCGCCACAAAAATTTCTTACTCAGGCAGCTGCAACACTTCATTCATCACATATCCAAGTCTCCTGTTTACAGCAATAAAATTTTTAGATGTACAAATAGTACGGAGGCGGATAAAAAAGTAATGGAGAATTTAAAATTAAAATACAGGATATGGCTAGGGAGTTAGAAATAATATGCTTCAAAGCAAAGTATTTTCTAAACTACATCAGGTGGGATTTCTTGTTTCTTTTGGGTAATTTTGAGTATTAAGTATTTTTTGTATTTACTTTTAGTAAAGTATTCCATATTTACTGACATACGGTTTCCCAGAAACATAATATTGTATCTATTGACCTTTACATACAGTAATTCACAATGACAAATATTGACTAAATAACAACTTATTCTTTGACATCATCTTAAAAGAAAATATACTGACATTTCTAAACAGTTGCATGACAAATCTGAAACCTTTCTTTTTCTAAATTATACTACTAAACTGGTCATAGCAAGTCACTAAAGAGCAAGGTACCAAATTCAGAATTTTCACCAGCATTTAAAACTTTTTCAATCTCAAAAGCCTCAAGGAAGTTATTTCAAAGTCACAAAACTCCGGGGGGTGTATGGTGGGATATCTGCTCCTATAAGCTG